AAAAGAGTTTTAGTTAGAGTATTTTAGTAATTTTCGTTTTAATATTGTACTTTTAACATGTAGTTTGAATAAAAAAATATTTTTTTCTAAATGAATTACAATTTTATAGGTAAAAATATTCAAACTTTAGCTTAAAAAGTATATATTACGATAAATATATAATTATTGAATAACAAAATTTAAGTGCATTTGGTTGGTAATAATTTATTATTAGCACTGAAGGTGAGTGCAATCTTAGTCGGGCCTACGAAGATTACTACTCGGAGATAAATGATTTTTTTTTTTTCTCTTTTCTCTCTATAAATAATATAAATATGGTTGATTTAAAAATGCACATAATATATACAATAAATTATAAATATCCGATCTTATCAAGAACCATATGACAGATGAAATGGTGGAAGAAAATGAAGTGGAGTAATAGTACCTTAGTTTGAGTAAAATAGAAGGAAGGAATAGGGATTAATGCATCTTTTTAATTAATTACTTTATAATATTTATCAACGAATTAAATAATTTAATAGTGATTTTTTTAATTAAAAATAAGATATTTTAAGTTCAAGTCATATGACATGTGAATTGAGTAAGATAAGGGATGAAAAAAAAATTGTTTCTCATTGTACAATTAATATAAAAAAAATTAAATTATAATATTTAAAAATATTATATTTTAATTAGTTAAAAAACTCACTATTTCCTTTAAATTAAACATATTATAATAAAACAATAAGAACAGCACAACTTGATAAACTTCATTAACCTACCTAAATATGGATAAAAAAAATGCTCCAGCAATTTGTGTTCAGCCTGGTAGTATCTTTCTCCACATAACTAGTTTAAATCAAAGGGAGTTTATAATTATAATGCTGTAATTTGAATTCATAATTTTACTATTGATATTATAAAATATAAATTATTAAATATGAACAATTCAAATATCAAAAGATTTATTTATTATTAAATTATTTAAATTATACAAGTTAATACAATTTAAATTATATATCACTTATTTTATTCGTAATTTATATATCATTTTTCTCTAAAGCTTCAAGCTAGAACGACTCCTTTGATCTTTAGCCCTTTCCTTCTTTTTTGGCTTCATGCTCTTTGTATTCAATTCAAGGTGCTTGGGGTTTTTTTTTTTCCTTTTAAATGAAATTATTTGGCTTAATATCACGTCCAATGCTGTCCGTGGATCTAAATATGAACAAATGACATTAACAGCCTTGGAAAATGTGGTTCATAATTTCCGCAGCAAGGGGAGTGTAGTCATTTCGCAACGCGGCTGGTTGGGAGAATTGGACGGCCAGGGAGCCGCCCCCAGCGTACCCCATCGTGTTGGGACCGGCATCATGTTGCGTCCAATCACAATCTCTCTTATTTTATTTACCTCTCAAAATTAAAAATTTTGTTTTGAGAAAAAAAATCAAACTGTACTCATATTAAAAATATATTAATATTTAATTATAATTATTAAATATGTAAAATATAATATAATATTTAATTTTATTAAATTTATCATATAATTATTATTAAATATTTTAATATTTTTAATGTTAAACTTGATATCATTTTTCTCAATTTTTTTTAATTAAAAATGGGTTGAAATAAGTTTTATTGCAAGATGCCAACGCCAAGGAAGAAGGGGCGGACCGGAAATGTCCCTTCGTCCTGTCGTGAACGTTCCGAAAACCTTGGACGTAGCTAGAAACAACCTCAGTATTCCGAATATTTGCATCACTGCCATTAT